AGCCTCATGATGCCCTTGCAATTCCTGAGTGGAAAGGCTTTGTTCAAAACCCCCTTAACAAAGCAAACCTGCTGCACTACATGGGCGAGACATGGACTGCACAGCACAAGTCACTTCCTCCGGGATGTACACTCCTTCTCGGAGGAGTCTTCCGTGACCCTGGCCGAACAGTCATGTTATCAACGAACTGCCAGATAGAGCTCCCTGAACTTTCCTGTGTGAAGCACGAGGAGGCGGACACACGGATGTTCGCTCACATTGCATACTGTGTACAATTCCTTCATCACAAGCGGGTTGTTGTGATGGCAACAGACACAGATGTCATCATGTTGTGCATCTACTATAGTATGCGTTTCGCTGAACTGGAAGAGTTATGGGTGAAAAAGATGGACATATATCTGCCTGCCCATGCCATTGCTACATCTCTTGCCATGCAGAGTGATGTAGATGCTGCCCAACTGACATCAGTCCTGTTGACCATCTACATACTGACCGGGTGTGACACAGTCAGCTTATCGTCTACAGTAAGACGGGAAGAACCCCGAGGCCTTTACAAAGCGGGAACATCGGACAAATTGGACACCTCGCTGCACCTTGCAGAATATGGCGGACCCTGATGAAAGCCTCAGAGGCGGACGGAAGAGTTGCCACAGCAAGCAGGCGTACATTCAGGCACCTGGCACCGGAGTGACTTCGGGTGCGCTCCTTTGATGCGGCTGCGGGCACCCTCATCCTCTTCGCGAGTATCAAGGCCGCCGGCGGCGGCTGACGATGCGTCTCTGCACCAACTGAAGATGCCTTCGGCTTGACCTATCAGATGCCCTTTCATCAGGTCGGCTGTCGTGCCAAACGAGCAAACACTTTGTCTTGAGCCAATGCTACCCCGTTGCCAACATTACTTTGGCAGACACCTGGTTCAATGACAAGGTTAGCTGGCAACCGATGATGTTGAAGCAGCCGGAAGCCGACTTGAATTTAAACGGGCCACAGATATTGCGGGATGTTCCGCTGCTTACAATGAAATGTGAAGTGGTGTATCGCATGCCTGTGCGCTGGAGACTCAATCAGCAGATGTTTCAGAGGGTGCTGAACTGCGCGAGCTGGAACGGGCAGTGATAGTGACCCCCTAACTGCTACACCGCTCGAGCATGTGTTCAGGACCATTCCAGACTCTTCAAGTCAGNCGTGAGCGACCCTATGAGCGTAACTGACTCAGTCTGACAGAGTCAGACTGAGTTCTTTATCATTCATCTCACCGAGAGAATTTTAGTTTACCAAAGACCGAAAAGTTGGAAAGCAAACACGACTTACAAATTACGACTTAGAATATGTCACATAAAACGCATAAGCATCAGAAGACAAGACTCAGGCGTACGGTCATTAACGATGATATAAATTTCACTTCAAAGTCGTACACGCTCAGGACTAGGGAGCTGCCATTACTGGTGTAGCATTAAACTAGTAGTAGTATTATTAGTCAAAATAAAACACCGGGTTAAAAACTGTTGACTGTTGTGCGGCTAAAAACAAAAGTAGCGCACGGCATCACCACAAGAGGCAGCACCGTGATCACCGCTTGGGGAATTTGGTCCTCGACACCCATAAGGCGGATATTTTTCAAAGTACGTTTTCATTAACTTATAATAGATATTAAAATAAACGAAATAAGTATATAGCACGAAAAAGGCGACGTGTAACCAAAAATAAACATCGTTCGAACAGTGCTGCATTAAATTTTTCACTAAACAATGAAATACAAAACGCCACCGGTCTGTAGCCCTTTGCTGAAAATTCGGTTTACGCAACTTTTCAGATCGTGCGCTTTGAGTGGCGCCACCGTCGTTGTAATCAAACTGTAGTAGTTAGTTTTAAAACATTTTTTAAAAATATTTCTAATGGTGATTGATCCATGAAACTTTTTATGTAGCGCAATTATAACCTAAATTAGCTGAAAATAACCCTAGAACCTAGAGGCTACTGTTCCTACTAGTAATATGTCGTCATCTGAGTCGGGTACTGATAGTGATAGTGATGTTAGTTTTAGTGGATCAGAAGGTGTATTTGACATACAACCGTATATGTTTGAACCCAGACGAAATGCTAATGAGCCAGATCATGTACAGCGTGTGGAAGGCGCCGCAATACTGCCAATACTAATAGGCATAAACGATGAGCAGTTGGAGATGGACGCAATGCCTAGTCGCCGTATGGAAGACTTGTCGCAGTGGTGTGCTTGTGATTCGTGTTCTGTCATGCCATCAGAATTAGAATGTCTGTGCTGCAGGGAACTTGATATTCACTTTAGTGATAAATTTGGTGGGGTTCAGTGCGTGACTGAAAATGAAGAGTTCCTGTCGCTCCTTGCCCCATCAAACGTCCGTGTCGTGTTATTGTTATTGTGCCAGCTATTTGCAGAACCCCGACCACCTAGACCAGCACCCAACAGGTAATTGTAATAGTACTGTACCATAAATATCTCATATATATTGTGTATATATATCACCAGGAGCTGCAGTAGGCCTAAACGATGAGCAGTTACAGATGTAATCAATGTCTAGTCACTGTAGAGACCAGTTCATGTACAGACACCAGGAGCTGCAGTAGGCCTAAACGATGAGCAGTTACAGATGTAATCAATGTCTAGTCACTGTAGAGACTCGTCACAGTGGTGCATTTGTGGTTTGTGTTCAGTCGGTCCAAAAGAACGAGAATGCTTGTGCTGCAAGGAACTTGATAGCTGTCTATGTCATCCTACTATTGCCAATTTGTGCTGTTAGTAGCCCTCTTGAATGTCACCATCGGTATCAAGAAATCCTACATACATTCCATCAACTGCGGGCCATTGCTTACGTATGTACCCAACTACGCATGCAGGGATAACCTAACCCAGATAGAAAACTGTCATTAGATAAGATAGGATTACATTTTTTAAGTGTAGCCGTTTGCCTAGAATCGGTATTTATTTTAATTATTATTTTACGTTGACTCAAATAAACAAAGGAATTAAAACTGGTTATGCATATGCATCAATTACCTTTCTATGTCCCTTCCCAAGTACATCATAGACCCAGTGAGTGAATGCTTTATAAGCACCCCAGCGCATAGCTCTATAAACCAAAAACAAATTAACCAACATTATCCTGAAGGTGTTGTGTTTACTTGACAACAATACGATTAAACGTGACATTTTTATGATCGCTGTGGATATTCGTGCAGACCCGTACGGTACGGTTTTGCTCCCCGGATATTTTTCAATGCTTCTATTACGCTATAATGCCTAATCGTGCACGTCATAACAATATCGTGGGTCATTATTTATCAATTTATTAATTTACAAATGGTACCGGTAATTGTTATTGTTAAAAGATAGGACTATCTTCCCAAGCATAGTTTAGCTAGCATAGCTCTAGAACTAGCCTTAGCCTATAGCCTGCGGCGGAGCGGAGGGCTATACTAGTTCTAGAGCTAAGTTTAGCATTATTATATATATGACTGATATTCTGTACATGAACTGGCTCAGAAACATCTCGCCTCGGCTCAAACATACAAGGTTTTGTGTGTTCCATTCTGTATATTAAAACTGGCGTCACTAAATGGCTTACTATAGTGTTATTTATTTTTTTGCATATGATTGAGCTTGTAGGGTTATAAGTCCATTATACTTTCTAAATCCCTAGTACAGTGTTAACAGAATTGGTAATGAAAAAAATCTATAACATACATGTATGTGATGTGATCAGGAATTTATTTGCATTTGGAACTTAGTTCATACTTTCCGGACGGGGAAACCCTCAATTAAACCTTGGAGTAATCATTCGGTCAGAATGATTACCCCAAGATTAAACAGGGATGAAAACCCCACCTTTGTGTGAACCTTTCCCTGAATCACACTTCCAACGTGAAAACATAATAGGCATGCTTGTGATTACACAAGTTGCGTTAATCTATTTTATTACTGCATGGTAGATTCTTGTCAGTTCCATTACGTGTATAGCAATGAAAGTGATGTTTATCTTTGACTATTGTTGAACTGCAAAAGTTAATATATAGTATATAAAGAAACTAATTATTAGCTGTGAAATAGTTCAATTCGTTATGGATTTAATGATAAAAATTCACAACCGTGGTCTGGTTTTTCGCATGTATTATTGCGACCATATACCAACCATATACAGGACCACCGGATCATTTGCAACATTTCATAGTTAGATTTGTTTTGTTATAATTGTACTTCTGAAAAGTTGTTCATTGCTAATGAGAGCGAATACAGTAGTATCTCGTACAGGGGAAAAAATAAAATTTATTTTTCGGGGGCTACTTTTCAAGCTCGCGTGCATGAAAATAGCACTCTAAAATTTTGCTTGCATTGAACTCTGCAAATTTCCGGGGGCTCTTTTTGGCATTTCCGGGGCTCTTTTTGGCATTTCGGGGGCTCTTTTTGGCATTTCGGGGGCTAAATCGCAAATGTATTTTTTTCACTGAACTCTCGTATAGCAATGTAACTGGATTCACCACTTTGTATTGCAAGGTCCATCTCACGGGGTGCCTAATATGTCCTTATAGCTATGAAATGTTTTATTCCAATGTGCTGTTATGATGGCATATACCAGTCTAATTTTTGCAATCATTATGATCATTATACGAGATACCACTGTATAATATAATCAGGAGTAAGATAATATAGGATCTATAAGGATAATATAGGATCCTATATTATCTTACTCCTGATATAATTACAGAGTCCACGATTCTGTCTTTACATGTTCTTGCATTTGTTTTCCGGCAATGATGAGATAAGTTGCATTAGTCTAATGTATTTTTGCATATTTCTAAATTGGATTCTTTTTGTCATACTGGCGATTTGGAAGCATTTCATTCGCAAATGTTGAAATATGTGCCGAAACGCCAACATTTTAGTTACGCAGGCATGTTGTGTCGCACTACACTTGCTGTTATTGATTATAATAAAAATATAGACAGAGACCAAGCAGTCTATCAGCATGGAGAGCGGAAAGGTGAGGGAAGGTCCCAATTTCGGTATTCCAAACAGAGTAAACAGTGGGTGGCAAAACCTATTAAGGAGTTAAAGGAATACGGCTATATTGAAGAAATGACAGATAATGTTATCAAGCTGCAATGTAACGCCATAACTGTAACTGAACCAGATTACCCTGACCTTCCGGCAAATATTGCGCCAATACCATGTCCACCCCATGAGCAGGTGCTAGCTAACCACTACTCTAGGTATAAAATGAACAAAGATAATTCCACTGGCTAGAGCTTATGAGATCGCATCACGCAGAGAAACTCCATTCTTGTTTTGTTTCAGAAGCTGACCAGAAACGATAGACTAATGCTCGGTGGTGATGGTCGATGTGACTCTCCTGGACATAGTGCTAAATACTGTACATATTCTTTAATGGACCTAAATACGAAATTTCTGATAGATTTCAGCCTCGTTCAAGTCACACAGGCAGGAAACTCTATGAGGATGGAAAAGTTAGGTTTGCAAAATTGTATCAAATCTGTGGAATCAGGTGGGTTGGAAATTGACATTCTTGCTACAGATCGACATGTACAAATTGCCAGTATGATGAAAAAGGAGCCTGAATATCAACATATTAACCACCAGTTTGATGTTTGGCATTTGGCAAAGAGCATATCAAAAAAATTGCTTCGTACAGCAAAGAGAAAAGAATGTGAAGGCTTACTGCCGTGGATAAAATCAATTAAGAATCACCTGTGGTGGTCCAGTGCCACATGCAACGGCGACTCAAAGCTTTTAAAAGATAAATGGACTTCTATATTATGTCACGTTTCAAATGTACATTGTTGGATTCCTAAATTGACATCACTGTGTAAATGCGCTCACGAACCACTAAATGAAAAAGATGTGCACGAAATTATGTGGTTAACTGTGGGGTCTCCACCATATGAAGCACTTAAAAATGTTGTCTTAAACAAAAGACTTCTAAACGACACAGATGATCCTTCATTCCTGGTAGATGACAGCACTGATGATGATAGCGACTCAGCCTCAGACTCCGAAGATGAAAGCGACCACCGTCCAAGCGTAGTTCAAGAGCCAAAATACTTAGTATTCCGTCGTTGTTTGTTAACTTTGTTAGCATTAGTTGTCTGCAGTGTCTGTGATCAGAGTATGAGCATTGAAACAGAAAGTTGCATAGGTACCATGCTTGTGATTTCATTTGTGTGTGGAAATGGTCACGAGTTTGTATGGAGATCACAGCCGTTGATAAACCGAATGGCAGCAGGAAATTTGCTTGCTAGTAGTGCACTGTTATTTAGTGGCAATAGCTTCAGTAAGATAAGTGACTTTTGCAAATTTTTTGGTCTCAAAATGCTAAGCCGGTCACAGTTCTTCAAAATTCAAAAACAACTGTTATATCCAGTTGTCCACACGTTTTGGCAAAATCAGAGGGCGGAAATTTTTTGTAATCTTGGTCTAGTGACGATTCGAGCATACCCACAGATCAGCAACAGCTGGCATCTGATTCCATCTGTTTCCTAGGAGTAGAATGTAAAGGATAACATGCATTATCCTCAGTCTCGGAAGTGATCTCAGGAGCTAAACTATAATCATGCAACTGAGAATAGATATGATCATGCTGTAACGAAGAACAATCTAATTCTGGAAATTGACACCCAAAGTCCTCCACACTAGGTGTGCACTGCATCGAGAAGTCTCGGACTTGGTCTGTCACGGAAGTAGCGTCTTCATCCGGCATGACTTCTGGTTCGGGGATCTGAAAAATTATAACACGTAACAAATTGGGCCAATTTAATATATCTGCTTATGTGAACGCTGCAAGACTCCCGTGATACAAACAATATAAAGTAACTTCATTACACCGTACAAAGCCATCTATAATTGCCTGGTGTTTGTTTCTCTGATTCAGAACAATTGCAATGCATTGTGTTACATGTAAATGTGTAAGTTTACTTACAGCAGCAGTGCAAATGCCATGTGGGTCTGCCTCACACATCTGTGGCGAGTTGGCTGGCAGATTCTGCACTCTACGTAAATAAAAAATAATCTCAGACAATGTACATACAGTTTGCATTTTCCCACTTATTTCGGTCAATATAACATAAACGGTCGTTATAAGGGAAATTTTTACAAATGTTCAACGAGCCTAAGTAATAATTGTGTGTGTTCTGAGCATTTTACGCCAGATTGTTTCAATGAGAGTGTTACAGGTGGTAAATCGAAACGTCGACTGAAGAAGAATGCCGTTCCTTCATTATTTTCATTTAAAGTACAGGCACGATCACGTACATCTGCACAGAGAATAGGGGCGGTTAAGGGGAAAGCAAAGTAAGTATAATACTGTATGGCTAATGTTTTGCTAATGTTTTATTATTAGGTATTTGTGATTGTGCTTGTCATATTTTATGAGTTACTTTTATGCTTTATTATTTGTGTGTTATAAAACTAAAAACTTCCTACTTTCTGTGTCTATACGTGTAATTTACTTAGTACACACAGTTCTAATTGTTGTTATATACAGTTCTTGCATTGAATAATTTTCGTTCCTAGTCCTGTTACATTTCTTTTATAACTTATATCAATTTTACATTCCTGTTGCCATTAGGCTTTATACTTGTGTGCTCAGAACGTTTGTAGTACTTGAAATTCTCTATCAAAATGCCTACTTGTATGGCAATTGGTTGTGCCAATACATCAGGCAGATGTTCTGCGAAGGGGGCAGTTTCACTCCATAGACTACCATTAAATTCCCACTTACGTAAACTCTGGTTAATTGCCATCAAAAGAGATGATGTTCCGCAAGTGCAACGTAAAGTTGTAATAGCTAGGTTATGGAAATGTAACAGCTAGGACTAGAAAATAGGACTTCGAAAATTATTTAATGCAGAAACTGTATATAACAACAATTAGAACTGTGTGTAAATCGATGCAATATCCGATCGTATATATAGATGAGAGATACTCAGATAGTACTAAGTAAACTAGACTTTTAGTTTTAGACAGAAAGTAGTAAGTTTTAGTTATCACACAAGTAATTAATAAGGCATAAACTGATAAGGTAACTGCAACGTAACAGGGTCAGGGGCACAAAATATAACACAAATGAGAGAAATGTAACAACAGGACTAGAAAATATAAACGGAATTTATTTAATGCAAAAACTATATAACAACAATTACAATCGGACTAGACAGTAGTCGGGAGAGTATAAAGTATTAGTAGGAACCTATACTGCTACTACTAGTAGTGCTACTAAGTAAATTGCACGTTTAGAATTTAGTTTTAGACACAGAAACTGAGAAAGTAGCCTAGTACTAGTAGTAGTAGTAAGTAATTTTTAGTTATCACAGACGTAATAAAATAAATAAACCATAGGTAAATGCAACGTAAAATTGCTAAAACTGTGTGTAATTAAATAATAAACAATATAAATCAAATACAAACGTGTCAAACTGAGAAAGTTTAAGTAGGCCTACGAGAGAAACTTAGAAAGCACTAGACTAGCGACTAGGTACAATTTTAGACACAGAGGTGTAAATATCAAACACAAACACGTAAATGTTATGGTAATGTTACAAAAGTAAATATATTTATAACAAGTAAATGTGTAAGTAACAATAAGATACAGAACTCGTATATAACAACGATAACTGTAAATAACCAACAACAACAAGTCTGAAGGTGACCGCAAGATCGTATGCTGTGCAGAGTAGAATGACACAAAAATTTCCTACGCGAGTAAAAACAGTGTCGTTTATTCAGGGAATTTGGTCCGCTCAATCGAAAAAGATTTTCCATGACATCGCCGTCACTACGCAACTTTTTGATAAAATTGCTCTTCCAGAAACGTAATGGCGCCGTTCAAATTTCGTGGCGTTCATGTATAATTAATTATAACAATTAAATTAGTTATCTGGTAGCAAGTACGTGTGAGTATAGACGATTTGTTATACAGTAAGTACAGTTGTATGCAGTAAAATTCTAGAGGCTACTGTCCCTTCTTAATATGGCTCATAGGTCATTGTCGCCCAGGTAATGCAGGAACGTACCCTGGTACGTCCGGTAATAGCCGTGAACGTATCAAGGTAAACTATTTGATAGGTTTAGGTACGGTTAGGGTAGGTTAGGGTTAGGGAGTAGCGTAGGCGACTCCTAAGACTCGTTAATGAGTAGGCGATTGAGGTAGCGGTCCGGCATATAGGTTATAGCTTTCCCGGCAAGTACCCTGTGGAACAATAGACCCTATTGAGCCGACACTAATAATGCTCATAGGTCTGTGTCNTCACAGTGGTGCATTTGTGGTTTGTGTTCAGTCGGTCCAAAAGAACGAGAATGCTTGTGCTGCAAGAAACTTGATAGCTGTCTATGTCATCCTATGATCCTACTATTGCCAATTTGTGCTGTTAGTAGCCCTCTTGAATGTCACCATCGGTATCAAGAAATCCTACATACATTCCATCAACTGCGGGCCATTGCTTACGTATGTACCCAACTACGCATGCAGGGATAACCTAACCCAGATAGAAAACTGTCATTAGTCGATTAGATAAGATATAGAATTACATTTTTTAAGTGTAGCCGTTTGCCTAGAATGAGTATTTATTTTAATTATTATTTTCCGTTGACTCAAATAAACAAAGGAATTAAAACTGGTTATGCATATGCATCAATTACCTTTCTATGTCCCTTCCCAAGTACATCATAGACCCAGTGAGTGAATGCTTTATAAGCACCCCAGCGCATAGCTCTATAAACCAAAAACAAATTAACCAACATTATCCTGAAGGTGTTGTGTTTAGTTCTTAGTTCTATAGTTCTAGAGCTAAGTTTAGCATTATTATATATATGACTATGAGATATATATACACA